TCTTCTCTTCCTAAATTACATTTGAAACCGCCGAGATGTAAACAGATGAGCCAATGAATTTTCCAGAGCTTTCTAAACAGTTTTGAGTGAAAACATGTTAGATAATATATTACCAAGCAGAATCCATGACTTGCACAGAAAAAATCTGAATTTCAATTTGAAATCAAGCATATTATCATTGAAACCAGCACTGATTTATCATTTAAAACCTGTTTGATATACTCACATTCTCTCAACTGTTTTGACAACTCAAATAGTATTCAAAAAAGAAGCCCTTCCTAAAAAGTTTAGAACGTGAAATATCAAGAATCAACCAAATGTGACTGCAATGGGAGGAAGGGAATTGGAATCACAGCCAGACCGTTGTGGGAGAGTAGTTTGTAAACCTCAGGAGGGGGAGTGGCAGGATACTTGTAAAGAATCCAGGGTCCATTTTGTGGTATTACTCATAAGATGTGTTGATAATATTGTGGAGAGTAGGATACTCTACGAGGAGGAGTAGAGAAAAGTGCTTATGAGTGTTGAATAGAGACCTATGATGCTGATGGCTCTTGTGAGATCACAAAGTTGGATAAAGTATCAAAACAGCCAGTGACAACCCTGCATATCTAGACAATGTTGACTTTTCTACATGGGTGAAGAGAAGAAAAACTGTTTTTATAATCTTGTAAATCATAGGAAAACTGCATGCAATTCTATACATATATTCCATTCTGATTGAAAGAGGTAGTTTTCAAATAAATACACATAGAATTTTACCACAATAGTAGATAACCCATTATCTGCTGGGTCATCATTTTAGAGATATTTTCTTACCAACAGAGAAACAGAATGACCACCACAGGCCAAAGAATCAAATGGGAGTGAAAGCAATTTCCAGCTTCCTGTTGGCTTCCCCATTGACTTTGCTTCTGGGAAGCTGGCAAGGGAGAGTTGGAAATTTCCTTCCTATCTTCCTCCCTCCCTCCCTCCCTCCCTCCCTCTGTAATAGGGATAATAAGTAAGAATTTGTAATAATAAATAAAATAAATAAGGATAAGGATGAACAATAAATGTAAATATTTCAGGGGTTCTTGGTGCTCTCTGAGCTTGCTTATTTTCTTGCAGACATTTCATTACCCTGACTAGGTAACATCATCAGTGCTGTAAATGTAAGAATTTATTTAATAAGTAAGGATGGAGATGTTAAAGAGAAATTATGATTCTCTTTAAAATAAAATCTGCAAGCAGAATTATGCCATCAATGTTTTAAAATAAATCTCATTTTGTGGAAGTCATACTGAGGACATATTAAATAAACCTGTCTGAGGAAGCCACTGTTCTGCTTAAACTATTCTGCCTAAATAGAGATGGGATGTCATTGGTGGTCTCCAAGATTGGCTTTTTCTTGCAGACATTTCATTACCTAACTTACCTATCATCAGTGTTAGATTGTGCTAAATTGGGATGTTAATTCTATGAATGTCTGAATTTCTACACTGAACTACTAGGCCACACAAGTTTACCGACTAACAATTATAACAATTTCTGGACTCTCAATACACAATCGATTGGTAGTCACGAGGCACCAAAGAAATCAGGTTTCCATCAGATTAACATTTCTTCTTACATCATTCCTGTCATCACATGAGCTGTTTGTATGACTCAGTGGTTTGCAAGCCACAACATGGTTTGGACCTTTGCCATAAAATTAGCTCATCTCTTCTGGGAATCTAAAACGACAACAGAAGTGTATCCCTGACCAAATGTGGTCCTTGGTGGAAATTAAGGCAGTAGCTCATGGACAAGACTGAACGCTGACAGAAGATCAATAGATTGTCCTACCTTTCTATTGAGAGTGCTTGTAGGTATCCACACTTTCAGTATCATTCAAATAAAGCTTTACTCATTCTCACTAGTGACCAAGAGGCACTTGTTAAACCATGGAGAAAAAGTCTTGAGGAGCAATTGTTAATTACCATTTGATGTGGGTAAGCTTATATCATAGTTTAAATTACAGTGAGTGGCATATGACCCCATTTTCAGTGAACTGGACAAAATCTTTGGAAGCTGCCTAAAAGCAAAAGCAAAAGTTTTTTCCCCCCCAAACACAACTCTGATAGAGGGTTTTTTTTTTTTTTTGGTAAGTATTGAGATAGATTTCCAACAATTGAACAACTTTCCATTTAGAACCAATATATCCCCAAATACATCAAGGAGGAAACTTTATTCTTTTCTTTCTACAGCCTCTCTGGGAAGCAGCAAGGAGATGGGTCTTTTGAGTGATAACAGAAGTTTGCAATTGCCTCAGCCACCTGAATCTTCAGCAGTTTGGGAACTGCAATTAGATTAACATCTAAAAAATGCACGCAATAATAAATTATCACAGCCAGAGCTACATTTTTGGAAGTACCTGTAATGTTATCATTAGAAAAGTTTTAAATGCGGTCAAGTGAGGAAATATAAATGCCAATTGAATTGCTCTACCCTCTATCTTTCAATGACTTAATTACATGTAATAGTTAAGTTAAATGCTTCAAGCCGCTAACTTCTACTAAACATAGTAGAAGTATTCTGAAATAAACCACTTTGGAAGTTCAACATCCAAGAATTTCCATATTACAATAACCTTACAATGCCAATACCAGTTGTAAGGAAAATGTAAGCTGTAGTCAGCAAGGAGTGAATGAAATTCACCATACTCATAGGAAACTCAATGATTCTAAGTATTTGCCTTCTTAATATAATGGGGACTGAATGCCCTCAAGTTTTCCTACTGATTTAATAATTAGTAAAATTACATGATGGTAGAAATTATTAATACTCAGGATCACCAGCATGCTTCTTTCGAGCATCAGGCTAGAGTATGACTGAGCAGCATAAATATAAACTTTAATATTTAACTCTGAGACGCTAACAGAAGGGTTAATAGTATCTGCTATCTCATTAAAAACTGTAAAAGGAGACATGAAGGATTGCATATAGCCTTTAGTAAAGTAATACAAATTGACCACCCATTGTGCAATTACTCCCAAGACAATAAAAATCAAGTGTTCTCTGAAAGATTTACACAGCTGACATGGGAAAACAAGGAGAACAGAGATTTTATTCAAATAGCTATACTTAATGGCTATCTTTTCACAGGGTATTTTGTTGCTTGCAAATACATCATTTGAAAATGACAAAACTTTAGGCTGCAAGCAAAGATGCTTTTCACATGCAGAAAGGCATTTTCATCTCATGAGCCCCCACAGGCGGAGCAGGGGAGGGTTGTCAAATTTTAAAAATCACTCTTTTGTACAGATGTCATAATGACACACATATGTAGGTGAATGGTGGAGCTTGTATTATGATGTGACAATATACTTTTATCATTCTGACAAAACCTCTATATCCTGTGGATGTCTCTAAATCAATACAGGTAATCCCTGAATTAATTAGGATCAGAATTTCTGTCACTAAGTGATGGAAGACATTTGACTGCACCGCTTAGCGATGGCAATCCTTGCACTCCCCATTACTGTTATTGGGCAAGGATTGTGGAGTGTTAAATGAGGACTTCCTCAGAATTTCCTGCTGGCTTCCAACAAGCAAAGTCAATGGAGAAGTCAGCAGGAAGTTGCATGTCCCAGGCATCTCACAAGTAGATAGATACAATAGCACGTAGCACTTAGACTTATATACCGCTTCACAATGCTTTACAGTCCTCTCTAAGTGATTTACAGAGTCAGCATATTTTCCCCCAAACAATCTGGGTCCTCATTTTACCGACCTCGGAAGGATGGAAGGCTGAGTCAACCTTGAACCTGGTGAGGTTCAAACTGCTGAACTGCTGGCAGCCAGCAGAAGTAGCCTGCAGTACTGCATTCTAACCACTGCACCACCACAGCTACTGCCTGATGGGGAAGGGTGCACAAAGGGGCATGGATGGCCAATACAGCACAAGTACTACAGGGCCAGAGGTGACTGCTGCCAGGTGCCTAAGGATAAGGAGGTGACTGCTGCCAGTAGGGGAAGAGATGTTGTAGCTATCATAGCATGCTCCTCAGGGGAAAAAAAACCACAAGAGTGTGAACAAATTAACAGAGCAACTTGTCACCTTCCCTGCTAGCTTCACCATTGACTTTCCTTGTGGGAATCGGCAGAGGTCAGAAATGGTAATCTCATGAGATGTGATGCTACAGCCATCCTAAATAGGAGCTGGTTGCCAAATGCTTGGCTGGTGATCATGTGACTATGGAGGTCCTGGGACAGTTAGAACTCTGAGGACTGGTCTTAAGTACCACTCATTCAGCACCTTCATAACTTCCAATAAGTCACTGTATGAGTGGTCATTAATTGGAGACTGTATATATCAGGCTTCTTTTGTATTTTCAGCCAGAACAATGCAAAAAAGGAGTGCAGTTGAAACCTAAGGGGTTTTACTTTCCAGAAAGAAGCAAAATTATATAAACTATGATAGAACCAATCAGTTGTAATACTACATGATTTTTTTCAGAAACAAAAGGCTTCTACCACTTGTTCTATCACATAAAAATAAGATTCTTATTCATTGAAAATTGAAAATAGGTTGAGGTAATTTCTCCCCTCCCATTCGTTGCTCCCAGCAGTGAAGTCTTTGTAGAACAGTTTTAGTGGCTATCATCTCTCTACTCATGGTTGTCAGGATCCAGTCCATTACTGCATTTTACCAATAATTGATTGAACCGACAGTACAATCAATTTTATTCTTTGGCTGGTCACAAATATAGTTTGCTTTTATGATGATAAGTTGCAGTCACAAGCCTCTCCCTGAATTTATATATACTCTTATCTTTAGACAGTCACATAATTAGTGGGCTGAAATAACACTATCATTTGTTATGCTAGCCTGACACTAAAGGGAAATATATTACAATCATTTAGCAGTGTATTTCAATATAAGGAAAAAAAATCTATTAATACAACAAGATTTCCTCCCATAAAATCCAACTGGAGTTATTTATATATTGGTTTTCTGCCTACATCAATCATAAACTTACTTTGATAACCAATTTGTCCAAAGTCATGGTAGCCTCTTTAATTGATCATGAAACCTGTAAGATAAATAAAAAGAGATATCACTTTAGGAAACCTGCAATGATTAGGGACTCTGAACCTTACATATCATAATGTCAAACTTGAGAAGAATGCTGTGTTCATGAATGTGAATAATTTGGTTTTTCTTTTTACTTTGTAGCTTACTACAAAAGTACAATTAGGAACAGAATACAGGTAGTATGTTTAACCAAATTGCTTGCGGTTTTAAATTATTTCCGCAGATCAATTCTCTTTTTTTTTGCAATTATTGTGATAGAGTATGGAAAATAGCACATTTCTAACATTTATGGTCAAAGTCCCAGCCATATAATTACTTATCAGGATAATGAGAGAAATACTACTCTAATATTTCCCAACCCTGACACTTCTGATATCCAAAATTGTCAGCAATGGCAATTTTATCCAAAGATGGAAAACCTAAGTGTTACCTAAGTCTATATATTGTCAAAGGTATATTTTTTTCCTACTGAGAATGCATATTTATTTATGTTACAGTTGTCATAACCTTCCTAGCTGGATTCCATTTGCTTCACCATCATAAATGCAAACTGCTTTGATTAAGAAAGGATTAAAAAGAAAAAAAAATACTACCTATAACCGAAGAACACTTCTGATCAGAGCTTCTGTTTAAAATGGGAACACTGTAAATAATGTTACAGTTTACAAAATTTCAGGATTGATTTACTGTTGCTAGATTATTTATGATTTAAATCTACCATTCTGTCTGTTTGATAATATGATTATCAACTGGAAGTTGAAGCCGAGAAGTTCAAATTATAGGAGGGGACAAAGGCAGGGAGCTTCAGACTGACATCAATCTTTGTTTGGGTGCTCTCTTATTCAGAGTAAGAACTCTGCCTCATGAGAACAGTTTTATGCTTTAAACATCTCTGGACTCTCCCTCTAAATCAAACTCGATCGCATCACGTGATGTATCGTGACATATCACAATGTTTTTTTACCTTTGTGGAGCCGGGGTGGACGTGGCCTGTGTGTGACGCATCCGGCCCTCAGGCTACCAGTTTGACACCCCTGCTCTAAATGGAAAGAGGAGGGACCTGCAGGGGACATGACAGTGAGGTCTTGTAATGGTAGGTGGGAATGACCTCGAGACAAGAGGGAGAGTGGCAGACTAACTAACTGGCATGCAAAAAATATCTCAACCCACAGAAGTAGGGAGGGGTGGAAAATGTTTTCGAGAGAGCAAAAGAAGAAACTTTCAGACTTGCATATATTATAATGTAACCTTATAGTAAAGATAGAATTAGTATTCCTGGTTGTGCTTCTTATCTTGACTACCTTGTAGGGTTTACAGGCATGGCTGTCACACCTAATGCCACACTCTCTTCAAGTAACGGAACACCCACAAAATAAGCGTCACATGAACCATTACAATTTTCATCTGTTCACTGAACTCACCTAAACCAGGCTAAACCAAAAATTTTTTTTGGGGGGGGGAGAATCAGAAAAACACAATAGCCACTTCCTCCACGTTACTGCCAAGAGAATTATACAGAATTACATACATCAAGGAAATAAGCAGCAATTACATTCAACTCAAGCAAGTCTTTACCTTAATGCACAATATTAGAGTGAGGCCTTTCTCCCCACTGGCAGAGAAACCAATCCCAGGTTCAAGTACTCTTTCCTGTATCATTTATTACTTTTAAAAAAATCTTTTCTTGGAGGTCCCCATTGCCCTGAATCACGCTTAAGACCAAGGGAAAAAAATGAAAACACACATAAACACACACACACACACACACACACACACACACACAGGCCATTCATCAGAGAAACCAAAATACTTTCTACATTCCTCAATTCCTGGGAAAAAATACAGAGAAATTTTTTATTACTTATTGTTGCATTCAATACTTAGCTGTCTGACGAAGGGTGAGTACTATGTAATTAAAAGCAAATGTTTCCAGAATTTAAAATCAAACAGAAAAGGATAAAAGCTCCTTGAGATAAACTCTGGAATAAAGAGCAAAAGAAAGAGTCAGAAGGGGACTCAATAGTAGCAAGCTATTGAGGTAGAATTTAGACCAGTGATGGCTAACCTTTTAGAGACCGAGTGCCCAAAAACTGCCCTCCCCACCCCGTCTCCACTCCGCCCTGCCCGCTGGGCCACCCACCACCTCCACGACCCGCCGCAGATCACCAAGGCAGTCTAGCAGCGCCATGGCGGCCATGCCCTCTGCCCATACCCCATAGCATCAGATGTGCATGACAGGCTGCAAGGGCGGTCTTGTCCCCACTGCACGGCTACCATGTCCTTGGCTGTGCTGCTTCGCGTGGGCAGCGCGCCACGCATGCCCGGGGTCGCCAGAAAAAAAAGGTTGAGAACCACTGATCTACAGCAAGAACGAACAGGATTCAGTCTTTTGAGAGACTGTCTTTTCTTATTAACATGTTTAAAATGTTATGAAGAACTAAATCTACATACATATGTTGATAAGCATCACAAACTAAGTTATAAATTCGGAAAGTATATGAAAGCATTCTGTAGCGTGAAAATGTGGGTTCAGATTCCTCCAAGAAAAGCACTCTAAGCCAGGAACAGTTTCCAAAAACAGGATTTACTGTGGTCAGCTGAGGGTACCACTCCGAAGTAAGAATGTACACCAAAAAGTTCAGTAACTTTTAATGAATTCCTACATCCTATTACACCTGTGAACCACAACTTTTGGTAATGCTTATTAGTTTTTAATTCAGCCTGTACTTTATATGGGTTCTTAAGGTTATTTCTTCATTCCAAGTCTTATTGTGTATGTGTCTTTTGCCCTTTGACCTAATGGCAGTTCATATTTACCAACATGTACTGTACGGTGTTTTTCTTGTATAGCAGAATTTTTTTAAAAAAAATCACCTTCAATTCTTACCTGCCAGCAGAGCAAAGATTTGAGATTTCTCAGTTCAGATTCTAACAGCAGCCAGATGACGCTGCAGAAGTCACCGATTTTCTTTTTGAAAAACTGTAAACAAAAAAGGAGAAAGAGAGAGACAGACAGACGGGGGGGGGGGAGGGAGAAGATTGTTAATTGCCAAGTTGGAGAATTGAGATGCCTGAATCCTTGAGTTTCATGTCAAGTGGTATTCAAGAATACTGTGCCATAGAAAAGTGGAAAAAGTACCTAAATCAAATGAAGACATGCAACATTGCTTTCCTTCTTGCTATATCAAAAATCTCATTATAGAGGCCTCCAATTTTAAACTGGGAGTTGCAACTTTCACAAAAAGGTCCTGAGGACTTGCCATTCATGCAATTGCTATCTTAGGGGATATAAAATGATTACAAAGCATAATTTATAGACTTTTAACTGCCATTCTGAAAACCAGAAGGATAATCTCTGCTTTTCCTTCCTTTCCTGAGGATAATGAATGCACCACCCAATCATTTTCCTTTTTTATACAAGTTTATAGGCCCCATTTGGGGTCCAGAAACATTCTTGAAATAAAGAAAGATTAGGCATTTTGCTCTGATAGGAAGCAAACCAGCTTTTTAATTTAATGCAAAAAAGGTCAAATAAGGCAGAGAGTCTTGTGGACACCAAAAAAGATTTTCTCCAAGCACACAGGTAACCATGGATACCATTTTGGAAATCTCAGCATTACCTGTAGATAATTATGGATTTTATGCCACAGTTAATTAAGCCCTAATGCCCAAGAGACAACAGGAATTCCTTTGAATTGTGGACACAAAATAACATGGCACAAATCTCTTCATCCTTATGTCTTCAATTGTTAAAGAGGACTAGGCAGAAAGTTATCATCTAAGAGCTTAATTTTCTGGATTTTATCAAAAGAGCTAAGCTCCAGCAAAATCCTAATTCATTCTGCTAACCCTTGAAAAGAGTCACAAAGACAGATCTCAACCTAGACATCTATAGAGACACCATACACATCTGCAAAATAGATGTTCCTGCTGCATATAATGTTGCTATAAGCCCAGGACTCAAAGTCAGGAGTACATCATCACAATTAATTTGCCTGTAAAAGATTAATACAAACAGTTAGTTGAGTTAAAGCAAGAAAATATTGTACAGTCTTGGTTTCAGTATAATCAATTGTTGGCTAGGTGGAAGTTAGATCAAAAGGTTGGTATTACATTAATGGATGAGAATTTGATAAAACAGATTAAAGATCAAAATCGAACGCATATAAAGAGAATTTATAATGTTTTAATAGAATTGGACTCGGAAATGGAATTAGTTAAAGACTGTATGGTAAAGTGGGCCCAAAATATTCAAGAACCGATTCCATTGGATACATGGGAGGTAATATAAAATTTACCCAGGCACAAAATTTAAGAGAAAATTTTTATAAAATGTTTTATAGATGGCATCTGGATCCTAAAAAGTTGTCTTGTATGTATCCTAATTTACAGCCCAAATGTTGGAGATGTGGTAGTTTGGATGCCACTTATTTTCATATCTGGTGGACTTGTAGAAATATAAAAGCTTTTTGGATTAAGATCTGGTGGAACATTCAACAGATTTTCAAGAGAAAGATAAAGTTTACCCCACAATTATTTTTATTGGGTGTTATCACAGATTGTGATGGTAAAGAAATTAATTTGATGTTGAATCTGATAACAGCTGCAAGGTTATTAGTAGGGCAATATTGGAGGAAGGATTGCTTGCCTACTATAGAAGAATGGACGCTTAAAGTGTCAAATTTAGCAGAAATAGCTAAGATTTCTGCTTACTTGAAGGATCACTCACAAGAAAGATACATTTCTGTTTGGAGAAGATGGATAAATTATATTCAGAATAAATATGGGACTAAAAAGTTTCATTTAGCCAATGAGTGAATTTTAGAGTATTATTATGATATTATTATTTTTAGTATTAGTATTGTTTAACAATTTGGAGATTGTATTGTTCAATAATTAGGATATCAACTTGTTTATGTTTTATTATTATGTTTATTTTCAATTTGTTTATATTTATGATAAAGGGGAGTTAAAGCGCATTATGGACTTGGTTATTTATATAGTTGGTTAATGTTAGTTAGATTACGATTATCATATTTGTAACCCTGTACTCAGCTCTGGGAAGTGGGGGAGGGAGAGGGGGTTTTTGGGTGGGCTGGTTTTGGTTTATATTGTAATTTTTATAAAACTTTTTAATAATAATAATAATAAAAGATTAATACAGTAGGGTTCTGTATAGATAAAAATCTCGACCAAATAAATAAAATAATGCAAACTTTCACATATAGAAAACTAGAAAATGCGAGGCCACGATACACTCATTTCTCATGGATGTTTTTAATACACCTTCATTTTCTCTTCACAGAGAAGCATACAATTCATGTCTCCAAGCATTCAGATCTACAGCACAGGTACAGGATGATCAAATCACTGAGATCCAGATTATTTTCCCCACAAGCAGAATCATGATCTGCATTTAGTGATAGGAGATATATTGCATCCATACTTCAATGCACAAATACCATTTTCCACATGACAGGTTGAGCTGGATAGATCCTTGTCAGGTTTTCAGGCTGAATTGTTCCAATGCATTTGAGATAATATGACTCATCAGTATGCATCTGGTGCCCTCTAGATATGTTTGCATAGTATTAAGTGATCCCCTATGAATAGCAAATTCATTTCCAAATGTGGTTCTTTCCATAACTGAAACTAGGATCTCAGGTTTGAAGGATTCCAGGAGTTATGAAAATATAAAAGATTTTTATAGATAGAAAATTAAAAAGATAGCATGCTCAGCCTCCAGAAAATACAATTTAAGAAGAAAAACATTAGAGAAGAAATCATATATCTTGGAAGAGTACTACTTAAAGAGGAACACTTCATACTTCAGATCTCATTTATTACTTATTTGTAAATCATCTCTTTTATCCTGTATTTCCTTTTTAACAGAAAACAGAGATTAACAGAGATTTAACAGAATCTCTTTGTAGATTGCAAGTAGATGGGCAAGTTCATCTGTCTCTACAATGTAGCTACCATTGCTATCATTTAATGAATAATATAATAACACTGAGGGCAGACATAAAGGTAGATTTGATGGGGTTAAAGTTGGCTGCATACCAATACTCAAGATTTCGCTTTAACAAACCACAAATCTATAAATATATGGATAAGCTTCTTGCTTCCTTCATGCATGCTTCAATTATCCAAGGTCTACAGTTTTCTCTAAACTGGAAACCATGGTTATATTTTCTAAACCAGTGGTTCTCAACCTTTTTAATGCCGCGACCCCAACCGGTCGTAAGTCGAGGACTAAACCAGTCATAAGTCGAGGACTAAACCGGTCATAAGTCGAGGACTAAACCGGTCGTAAGTCGAGGGCTGCCCAACCAGTTGTAAGTCGAGGACTTTTCCTGCCCAGGAGTGCCGCGCATGCGTGGTGCCGCCCCCTGTCGGCCGAGGCGTAGCTGGCAAGAGGCAGAGACGGAGCAGGCCGACCACCGGCTGGGCCACCAGCTGGCCCAGCCCAAGGGAGGTAAGGCAACCGACGGAAAAGGGGAAAAAAATGGCGGACAGCCTTGCTTGGTGACCCCCGTGAAATGGTTGATCGACCCCAAATGGGGTTGCGACCCATAAATTGAGAACCACTGTTCTAAACCATCCAAAATATGAAATCACTGTTTAAACTAGCTCTGAAATCCCACTTTGGAAACAATACATGTTCATTCTAGTTCCTGTGAAATAGATCTGTCTACAGTATTTCATGGGAAAATGATAGCAAAGAGGCTGCCTAGAGGACATGACATCTTTGCATTCCTCAATTTATTAATTTGAGATTTGATTACTGTATCTCTAGCTAGCATCTCCTTTTCAGCATTCCATAGTTTGATATCTAATTATAAGAAAATCTGCCCATTTTAGTTGTCTTCACGGCACAACAGCATCACCTAGTGTTCGACAGAATTATTCCTGCAAAGATTTTAACAAACAGAATTTCTTCTATATAAGTAATCATTCTCCAGTTCCAATGGAGCCTCTTACTCTCCCCTTTTTGAGTGCTTTTATTCTTTTCCGATTTCTTCTCCATTTTCAGATCTCCTTAAATAATATTCTGTTTGAGTTTGGTGTGCAAAATCTACTTTGCATCCATTAGTTCTTACTGCCACATTAATTTACAACAAGGGGAGGAGAAATTTTCTCATACTCAAGATATGAGACTGAAGCTGAAACAAAGACGGTGATATTGGAAAGAGCGGGCAGAAAATGTAGGGTCTGCTCTGTCAGATACAACATCACACAGCTTTAAGCAACGCTTTTTCCAAAAGATCCTCTTTTACAAAATGCAAGTTTTGTCAGCTCCTTGTAGCTTGCCTCTAAACAATCACACATGCCCCCCCCCTTTCATTGATAGCTTAATGGAAGACATCAAAGCAAAGCTATTTGCAATAGCCTTCCTGATACCCTTCAAGATAGGTAGGGAAAGTCAATCTGGAACATCCTTGCCTGAAGTGCCCAAAGATGTGAGGGCGATCTGGCTGCGACATGTCACCCCATTGATCGCCAGGGTTGATTCGGTTGATCTGGCTGGCTAGGCGGGTGTCCCCTTCCTCCCTCACCACTCCATGTGCATCCCTCCCGAAGCTGCACTCTCGGTGGAAGAGGACGACCATCCCAGATAGAAGGAGTGTACCAATCTTCGGTCAAGGGTATACAATAGCTGCACTTCCCTGCTAGAACCTCCAAACAAGCTCAAAGCAAAGCTATTTGCAATAACTTTCCTGATACCCTTCAAGATAGGTAGGGAAAGTCAATCTGGAACATCCTTGCCTGAAGTGCCCAAAGATGTTAAGATTTTCTGGTGACTGGATAAATACGTATTTCTTGAAATGTTCAGTTCAACAGTTGCATAGTTATTCAGTAATCAAGAAGGAGGTGCATTTCATAAGCTGAACCAGTAGCTACATGGGATACTTAATACTGTGTAATTTGATTTATAGCGTGTCATCTTTTAGGAGCTCAATGCATTATACCTAGCATCCCCTCCTATTCTGCCTTACATGAACCCTATGAAATAGGTTGGACTGAGAAGATGACTGGCTGAAAGTCATCTAGCCAGGATCCATACCTCAGGGAGGAATCTTCCTAGTCAATAATCTTAGCCACCATACTGCCCTAAAATTGTATGCACATGTCTATTCATTTATGGATGCTTGCATGTGAACCCAGACAGATAATTTTATATTGGGATAGCTACAGAAGCAAATTCAGGCATTTGAGGAATAAACCTAGGTGGGGTTTGATTTAAAATTAATTATCCTATTTTATCCAGCTAGCTTTTTGCAGCAAACAATCAACATAGATTTAGTAAAATATGCATTTCTAAATGTTGTTTTAAAACAACATTTTAAAAAATCAAGAAGCAAGCAATTTCAGGAAACAACGAAAAACAACAGGTGAATTAATTTATCTGCATTTTTCTTCTAATTCAATCTGGGAAAAAAGTGTTTCCATTTTTTTCAGTTCATGAACTGTTTCTAAATTCTGAACAAAATTAGGCTAAAGGAAAAAATACACTTTTAAGTGGCAAAGAAAGCAAATGCTGTTAAATGCTTTACTGCTGTTATAAAATCCAAATCTTTCCATTAATTCTTTACTATGGCTTTCTTTTAAAAAAAAAACAACCCACAATTTTCAACTATTTATTTCTTGACTGAATTACTTTGCTCTTATGTTCATAATAGTTTACATGATTACTGGATAATTACTGAATGTTCCGATCATAATCAACTCCTTGTCGCCAGCTAAGGATTAAACCTGGTATTAAACCCTAAGGATAGCAGTAGGAAAATGAGCCTGACTGCACACCATTTTTAGCACCTGCAATGTAACTCTGTCATTGCCCGGTTCTTTTTTCAAGGTGACACTTGGTTCCATCCAAGCTTCAACAACAGCAGAAATAAAATAATTGTTTCACTGCTCTTCAATCATGGCCCCCAAAATAGACTCAAGGAAAGTAAGCCAAGCTTCCTTGTTTCCCTTTAGCTCCAGTAAACAGAATTCCATTTATATCTTTATGATCTGCAGGACCATCTTTCCCTAAAAAAATCCTACCAGGTCAGTTAGGATTGGCATGCTCCTTGTCCATTCCCTTGAACATTGCCTCTTCTATCCTTCTAACTTTCCAAAAACCATTGAAGACCTGGCTTTTCCTCCAATTCCTGGACTAAGGTGAGGTGGAGCAAGAGGATTTAATGATAGACTGAATGTTGGAAGTTTAACTTTGGTGCTGGTTTTTAAAATTTATGCTTTTAATAGATTTAATATGGTACCATGCCATTTTATTATTGATATTGTTTTCATTGTTCATTGGGAGCTTTATATAAGGGGTGAACGGATATAAATGTTTTAAATAAATAAATACATTTTCCATAAACTGAAACTGGAGTTCTTAATATAGCGCCCCAAGACTCCACAAATGTGTTTTATGTGGGAGAGTTAATAAAGCCCTCTTTCCCCCTCTTAGGAGCAGTTGCTATAAAGTAGTTACTGCAAAAGTCCTTGGCAATGTTTACAACATCAATCTTTTTTTTTTCCTGAAGCAGCAAAGTTTTCTACAAGAATGGTCACTAAATGAATGCTGCAACTATATACTACTGACTTCATCATTTCTTGTCACTTCTTATTATCGTGAATATACTTGCAGCACTATACCTGAGAAAGCTGCACCCTAGGCATTTAATGTTTACTACTATTTCTTGGAAATGTTTAACAATATGTGCATTTCCTGACTTATCAATTTTATTGGTAAGAAAACCATTCTGTGGTGGATTTTGTCTATGAAGGAGGTGTTGGTGTGAGGGATTGCAATGAAGTGACACTGTCCCAGGAAAGAGGGAGAATATTCCAAGGAGAAGAGTGAGACAAGAGACAATACAGCCTGGAGCTAGATCAGAGAAGAGGGGAAGAGGTTTAGGACAGCCACTCCCTAGACTCTCCCAAGGTATATTTGTTAGTAATAAATGTTTAATCTGGTAAGATTCCATCTATATGGTGTGAGCAAATAAAGAAATGAACTTTGGCAGCATTATTCTATATCGTTCTTGAGCTAGGCATGACACACACTTTTTCTGTTAATACATAAGCACATATGACGAAAATGTTGTGGATATATGCTATCCATTAAGACACAAGATAATAATTTTCCCCTCTAGAATATTTACACAACTCTCAATTTCTTCCTTATATGATTTATCCAACCATTGCCATGCCAATTGCTCTACCATATTGTTCAATCCAAGTCTACCTCAACAACCACTGTGTTGATGAAATATATATTCTCAACAAAACAGAAATATATTACATAAAGAAATGGAGGAATTTTTCCTCTAGAAATTACTTCTCGGTATAATTTGCTGTTGTTTATTATTAAATTTTCTGCACCTATTTCAACATTAAGGAAAGTATTTTGTTATGTTTATGAAAAATATACTCCCTCTTTCTGATATACACAGTATAGCTAAAATATTATAACCGTAAAATAAAGACACTTGTGATAATAAAGATTATGGACAAAATCAAGCATTTTGAGATTGAATCCACCTAAGCAAGTTAAACCAATAATGCAATGAGAAAGTAATATTGCTTATTTAGTATTTAGTGCAGTTACTGACAAAAGTTTAACTACAAGCTTCCGGAGTTTAGAAATTTAATGGCTTATTAAATCAATAAATACAAGTACAATAGTAAAAAGAACATCCATCTGTTAACTATATTACCCTACCATAATGTAATAGCAACTCTGTGTGTGTGGGGGGTGGGTGGGTGGGTGGGTGTACGTATGCACATATATTCAAACAGAAGAATTCCAACAGTATTTTGAAAAGCCCATACAAAGCTATTCACCAGGAAAAGAGACAGTCCATCAGATACAAAGTATTTCATAACACGAAAATATTTATTAACACCAATCCTTCAGTATCTTCAAAGCAGGACCAGCTCTTATAATGCTGTTTCATTCAGGTAACCAGGCCTTACATTTGTTTGGTGTGACATTTTGTGCGTTTTAGTGGGTCTTAATACTCACAGAAGGAAGGACTCACTGGAGAAGAGCCTGATGCTGGGAAAGATTGAGGGCCATAGAAGAATGGGACAACAGAGAATGAGGTGGCTGAATGGAGTCACTGAAGCAGTAGATGTGAGCTTAAATGGACTCCAGAAGAGGGCAGAGAACAGGAAGGCCTGGAGGAACATTGTCCATGGGGTCACAATGAGTTGGACATGACTTTGCAACTAACAACAAACAATACTCACACATAAGAATTTCATTAAATTTTTTCCAAATGAAAGCTGTTTCACAGCTTACTGCCATGATGAGGGTTTTGGATAACAGAGGGTAAGTTTCATGACCAAAAACCAGTCATGTCCCTAGTATTTCAGCAGTATGTTCTACTCTTTCATGTGTTTTCTGTCCCTTTCATTTATATCTCCTCTCCCGTCCTTGTACAAATCAACTCCAACTCTTAATGCTTTATTAGAAATCAGTTTGCTACCAGATTAATTTATCAGTCATCTACATATTATACAGTAGAATAGAATACAAATATCTCAGCGATACCATTCTGAACATAATTTCTATGTTCAGTTTTTACTAAACATTAAGAAACTTTAAGTATGTTTTAAAGAAAATCCATTAAAATTTCCATGACTCAAAAATCATAAAAACCCTACCAAAAGATTAATAAGGCTGCTATAAAGAGAAAATTAATTATAGGGGTTGGCATAGGCATGACACTACATGCATTGGAATTGGATTAGGATGACCTAAAACATACATTAAGTAGCCAGGTTTAGGTGCTCCAAGTAGACCTAGGACACATGCATACCAGGCACAGGGGCTCTAGGGTGGGAAACAGCAGGAGAATGGGAAAGCAATTGGCAATAGAACATAGTAGTAGCTAAGCAAACTAAGGGGACAGGAAAATTAAGGGTAGCGATGGGGGATGTGGACATATGTCATGCTTGAATTCAAGTGCTGTCATGGCTAAGTATAGTTGGATAAAGCAAGTAGAGTTGGACTGATGCACAGGCCACATGTTAGAAGAGACTGTAGAATGGCTGAGGAATTCTGGGAGTTGAAGTTCACAAGTCATAAATGGGTCAAGTTTGAAGACTCCTGCTGTAAATGAATAAAGCTTGTCAGTTTTGCCCCATTCAATTCATACGATCAGTCTGAAATTTGTTATGGCTGAAACTTGGAACAACCAAGGTGATCCGTGCACAGAACGAAATAACATTCCCCATTTCCTGCATGCCTCTAAACTAAATTAAAACTAAATTCAGATCTATAAGCAAAACTTAAAATTCACAAAGAATTGCCTGAAACAAATTATAGGGTTTGCGAATGTGCAAAATTAGATGGCTTAGAATGATCATTTATTGATTACAAGTTATATTTTTCAGAATTGGGCCATACAAAGTAATATCCTCAAAAAACCTCATTAACCCAATACATGATAGGAATGTACTTACCAGTAGTGGCTATCTTGTGAACATCAATGTCACATAGGTATTTGCAATTATTACAGATGCAGCATGGAAACCACTGAAGCAACAGCAACTTGTTTAAGTGTCAAGTGCCACACCAAGATTGAAAATAGTACTATTGCAATTAGGCTGAAAATAATGGGAAAAATGAAAGAAAGTAGAATTAAAACACAATAAGTGCAAAGAGTTGTACGATGAGAATTCTGTTTATTGCCAACATCTAATTCAAGGAATATAAATGCAAGCTTTTCACATAGCAAGCAGTGGGAACACAATAGTTTCAGATGAATTATATCATACGAAACAAAAGGTGAAATATATCCAGGTAGTCAAGATACTTTGAGATACAACCTGTAGAGCTGACCACAAATTCTTGTGGTCTAATACTTATATAGGTTAAACTTTGAAAAGTAAATAAGCTAAAAATGTTTCAACCTGAAAAATGTACAGGCAGAATAAAGCATCAATGTAAAGAACAGATTCAATATATTTTTGTTAAAGGGCACATGAGAGGCTATGGGAAGAGATAAGGTACCTTGAGCTCATCCTTATATCATCCAACCACAGCACACTTGTTTTAATGCCATGTTTTCATAATGTCTTCTTCTCATTCCCAGGCCATAGTGGAGGTAGGTTCAAGCCATCTTTACTAAGTAGAGGCATAGAAAGGAAGGCATTTCTTCCTTTTTCCAACTCTATTTTGATTTGGGAATTTTGATTTTTCCACTATGTAAAGGCATAGAGTATTTTCTTCCTTTCCCAACTCAATTTTTAAAGAGGATACATCCTAGCATGTTTCATGACAATGTGGATGGTCAAGAGATGAATCTGCCCATCTTCCATTGGTTACTTTAGTCTGCTGCAGGCATACCACCTCTACTCTAATGTTTGGCAACTATCCTCTGTGGCAAATGCCCCCTCCATAGTCATTTAAGTTTGGGCCAGAAGAAAGATACTATAAGGCACCTGATTTCCACAGAAGCATCTGCTCACTTAAAACTTTAATCTTTCAAGAGACACCTTGATCTGGTTTTCTTCTTTTAATGTTCTTTTGAGAGTTAGGTCTGTGTTTTTTCAAGAAGTGCAGTGGTAATGCCAAGAGGACCTTATTATTGTAGCAAGGCAGGGTTTAGCAATTGGGAGCAAACATTTCTATTAGCTCAGGGACAGATGGATGGCACTTTAACAAGGTCTTCTTGCTGTGCCTATTGTGGGAACTGAAGCAGAAAATAAAAACATTTCCAACATAAAAAGATCCAAGTACCTTTTAGGACAAGGTTTCACAATAGACAAAAAACAGATGGGGAAATCCAGATAACATAAGGTTTGTGGGAAGATTAGTGGGGGGTCAGTTTCAGATAGGGGTTACTTCAAGTTTCTGCTTCTTAGTCCCAACCTGGTAACACCAGCAAAAGTCTAGTTACAGGTTTGCTCTAGGCAACAATTATATTTAACTAACAATGTCCCAAATCTGAATTTGCTTAGGGTTAAACACATTAGAAAGCAACTGTAAGGCTTTACCTTCAGCTGACATAAAGTCATCTCAGCATTTCACATATACTGCATGGCCGCACACACATACTTAGTACAATTCTATATGAAAACTGTGTTTACAACGCCATTCTTAGCACAGATAACAGTCACAATTTTAAACTCTTGCCTTTGTACTTAGTAATTCCTTTGTTTTACTTTCGGGGCAGCGGAAGCGATCAAAATCAGACTCACGCAGCTAAGGTGTTTTCTCCATGATCGCCTATGAGCACTACTTCTTCCATCACGTTTACTAAGTTTCCCCAAATCACCACTGCAACAACAACAAAATAAACCCTCTGCCTATTGTGATACTTCCTAACAGTGGCCCAATACAAAATCGGTGGGCAATTCCCAAGTCTCCGAACACACGCTTTAAAACTCCGCGCTGTTTTGTAGCCCTGTCTTACCTCATTCAAAGGCGTGCGCCGCACCTTGAAACGCGATTTTTTTTAAAAAAAAAAAATTTTGAAAATGAAACATCCGAAGCGCGGACTGGCTTATCCGTATCACGTGACGGGCAACAACCAATCGTTTTTTATACGGTATTTTCTAGCTTCCCAGCTTAGCATTGTGATCTCAACGGGGAAAGCCGGTTGTGAGAATCGTAGCAGGAACTCGGTCAATTTGGATGGGAGACCCTCAGGAGACCCCAGTCCGGATGACTATCCTGGGAAAAGAAAAAAAAATCCTGGAAAAATGGTAGTCGGAAACTGCTTCTGAATTCTTGCCAAAGGGACGACGCGGATGTGTCCATGAAATCTCCTGAGAAGTAAAGCACAAGTCAATTATCTGGGAAGAGCTTTTAACTCTACCCAAATTATTGTGCATTTTACATGAAAGTCAGTTAAAGTCAATTACATTTGCTTCAGACCAAGTATGATTATGGCATACATACAGGCATTTGTACTCTGAAACCTAAATGGCTAAAGTAATGTAATTAGGCAAGGATGTCTCTGGCTCGGAATAAAGCCTTATTTATTCATTAAGCTAAACATGCTGAAAAATATTGTTTCAAGAGAAAAAAAATATGAGAGATTTATTGTGTGCTAGCTCCCCAAAAATACTAAGGATGATTTGGCCATAGAAAGATAGTCTGTTCCTGCATTAAACTGAGTAACTGTGTTTCTACAAAATGCTGTCAAAACAAGCCAGATCAATTAGACCTTGATATGAAGGCCTGATTCATACAACAGGCTAATTACTACATAATGGACTTTTATTGGTTTTGACTTGAGCATTAGAATTTATTAGTGGTGGTTTCTAGTTTAACATGTTATGAAATTCAATATTAGCCATTGAGCTTTGCAAGGCTACTAATAATTTTTCATTCTGTTTGTAATGATGTTTATTCAAATACATTACAGTATAGCAAGGAGGTTCATCTGCTAACTGCTCTGGGTTTATGCAACATGAGTGACAGCGTAACACTTTAGCCCAGAGGTGGCGAACCTATGGCATGGGTGCCAGAGGTGGCACTCGGAGCCCTCTCTGTGGGCACATGTGCCGTTGCCCCAGCCTTGCCTCCCCCTGCGACCCCCTCCTCTCCAGCAGCCCCCCTGAAGGAGAGTCGCCCCTGAGCGTGGCCCACGTGGAGCAGCACAGCCAAGGACATGGCAGCCAGGCAGCATAGACAAGACTCTGCCCTCACACCCCATCGTGCACAGTTGATGCTGCAGGGTGCGGGCAGAGGGCGTGACCGCCATAGTGCTGTTGGGCTGCCTGGGCAATGTGCAGTGGGCCCTGGAGGCAGTGAGTGGCCCTGCAGGCAGGCGGGATGGGGGGTGAAGTGGGGGCAGGCAGGAGGGTGGAGTGGAGGTGGGGCCAGTTTTGGGGCACTCAGTCTCTAACTGCTTTAACCTAAATGCGACTGTTCATGTTTCTCAAAGAAAGACATATTATAGTACCCTGTAACCACATTGTTTGAGTTGGATTTTATATCTGATTTGACCCTGTGATAGAATTTATAATCTTGATGGTTTCTGTAAGTGTGAATCCAGCCCTTTAAGTTCCATCCCTTTTAAGAAAGATAAAACCAGGTTAAATAAACCACAGTTCAGTCCTGTGTGTGAATCTAGTCAAGGAGTCTAACAAAATGCACAAAAGAGACTAATGAATATTAAAACATTAAACACTAATGTTTAACATTAAATATTTTCATTGCATAAGGGCAATTATTTTTCAACCTTTAAAACATCCACTTGTATAGTTCAGGTGAAATGTATTAATTTAAAAAATATTTTAAGAAGTGAATAGGTAACTTTTGGGTCAAATCTCACCAGTATGGCACATCTGTTTCTTTTTATTCGTCCTTCTCTGTTTGGGATGCCGCTTCGCTTAAATCGGGGTATTTAATATACCTAAGAATATATGCATGTCTTTTAATAAACCACTAATCTATTCCAAGGTAAGGGAAATACTATCAAATTAATATAAGACATGTGTGATTAACAAAATTAAGGGATGTTTGGAACATCCACGCCTCAATTCAAATTGAATAATTTCCCCCCTTATGATTTCCGGTCAATTGTAATCCTGTAGCCGAGACAATGCTCCGCATACACAAGGACATTTTTTTTAACATTTCCGCTTCGCTTGAACTACAATTACCAGGATGCATCGGGACATCGATTTATCAAGTATGTTTTTTTTTTTAAATCTTGCGGTGTCTCTTGGGATTTGTAGTCTCAGCCTTTCATTTCCATTTCCGGAAAGCCTGAAGAGTGGAAGCTTGAAGGGCGCAAGGACTGTGGGGGTGTTAGAGTGTTTTGCTTTCCCGTGCTGCAACGTAAGAGAGAGGTATTGGGCCGGAATGTATTTATGGGAAAGGACGGGTGGCAATTATTTTTTTCTCTGGGGGGGGGGGAAGTAGGAGCATCTGCTGCTTATAGCAAGAGGAAAACGGGGGTGCTAATTACTAGAGCATTTTTCAGGTTACACAACCTATTACCGAGCAGATTACAGCATGCTTTACAGTGTAAAATTCCATCTAAATGACATTACCTACCTAACTAAGTAACGCTGAGCTCAAAAAGCTAAACAGGATCAGATCTGTTTAATATTTGAACGGAGACCATCGAGATATACTACAACTATGATCAGTATGAAGTAAAAAAAAAGAGAGAGAAGGCAATGGCAACTGAGAAAACAACGCGGACTTGTAGTCACCAAGAGTAAAGCTTGATTCAGAAGAGATTTTAGTACCGGTATGAACCATGAAAACAATACACTGTTGAATCACAGATAAAACCTCAGATGAAATCACAGTGTGTTAAGCTTAATCCAATGAAGCTCAAACAAAATCTTTTAAAAGTTCTTTTAATGGCCCAATAATATCACTTGCCAAAATCCCATTCTCTCTTACACAGCTCAGCCTCAGTTGTATAGATGCAACAGTTTTTCAGATAGCCTGGCTGAAGAGTCCCACTTGCAATCTAAAATGATACAACCCAGATAACAGTTAATATCTCATTTGGTCCTAGGCCTAATATTAACACTCTGGAAGTTTCAGAGCAAGTGTGTCCTCCATTGTTGGAGATAGTAGGAGGGATGAGCACATGAGCTCTACCCCCATATTCTTGTGGCTCTCCATGTGTAATTAACTGCAACATGATGTCTGTTATGTATGTGGAAGCTGGCTACTTGGTTTAAAATTCTGCACAGTTGAGTTTCTGAACAAAACGGAACATTCCTTCAGATAAGGCAAGCAGTCTGCTGAAGATTGTACCATCCTTTATTCCCATGTAAAATGCCTAATGCATCATCTAATTGCCAACTAAAGATGAAAAGAAATTATGGAGGTGGCCAAATACTGAAATTAGCTACATGATAATTTATTTCTTTATTGGTATAATTTGAATAGTTAACATGACAAAATAATTACAAATCTAGTATCCAAAGGTCAAAGCAAGTGAGAATATTGTCTTGCCTGACTTGTAATATTCAAAATTGTCACTTGTCATTTCCAGTTACTAGCAATAGATATTTAAATAACACCACTTGAAACATTTTGATATTTCTTCAGAAAGGCATTTGCTATTTTTTTAGTGGAAGCCATTTATATCCCAAGGACTCGGAGGTTGTTTTTTTTTAAAAAAAAAATGACTTGTTTTAAGGAAATAAATGTCTTTCCACATGCAAAATGGAATCACTTTACATAATACAGTCAATAAATCGACATGCAGAAACAGACTTTTATAGCAGTTGGTATTTGTTGGGCCAGAACCAATAGTAAAACATATAATTTTTCCTCTGTCCATGCTACATTATTTTTAACGTCCACTGCCTTCTTGCACAATCCATATCACATAATACAATAAAATGTTCTTTGCTGGTCAAAATGTAATGCATTAGATCCAGACTTGGATCCTCTTCCTTTTACTCAAATAATATTCTGGTAGAAGAAATGAGTGGTAGCCCAAGCCTCTGGACTTAATCATAGGGCAGAGGTCCCCAACCTTTTGGGCACCAGGGACCGGTTCCGTTGAGAGAGGTTTTTCCGTGGACCGGAGGGGGCGTGGTTTCATGTACTGTCTGCATCCTGCGGATGGGGCTTTGCTTGTTTGCACGGACCAGTTTCTGGCATGCTGCAGTCCGGTGCCGGTCCACAGAATGGGGGTTGGGGACCCCTGTCATAGGGGACCAGTGTGGATGAGGGGGGGGGGAATTTTGAAGTCTGTCTTCTTTTGCAGAATTCAGTTAGTCAAAATCCACATCCAAAAAGACTAACCTCATCTTCTATTTATATGCAAATAAACCATTCTTTCCTCCCCAATAAAAGTATGCTAATTTAAATAATTGAATTAAATATGTTTCCATATTGATATATAATTCCAGAGCAGGAAGACATATACTAATTATTTTGCTATAACAAATTATATACATATAATTATGCATTATTTTCTCTTTGAAGTCAGCTGGGTGTAAAATGTTTTAACTATATATAGATTGCACTTTAAATATGCATGCTAATTTTTATGATGTTCAAATTTTGGAAATTAGACTCTTCTCTAATTTCTTCAGCAAAAAGTGTCTTAATTATAATAAATGACTCATTAGTATATGCATGTTTTGTATAAAAAGCAGATTTTATTTTAAATCAAGAGGGTTTTTTTTAGTTTTTGTTTGAAATACAATCCCATATAGATTAACTTAGAAACTGGTCTCATTAAATTTAATAGGACTTATTTTCAGATGCATGGCAATAGAATTGCAGCTTAGTATAATTGTTTTTTTTAAATAATTTACATTTTAAATAAGGTGGGGAAATAGAGTAATATTATGATCTGTTGAAGCAATCTGGAACTAAGGAGAAACTTCCTAATAGAGAGAACAATTAACCAGTGGAATGGCCTGCCTTCAGAAGCCTCACTGGAGGTTTTTAAGAAGAGATTGGACAACCATTTGTCTGAAATGTTATAAGGTTACCTGCTTGAGCAGGGGGTTGGACTAGAAAAGCTCCAAGGTCCCTTCCAACTTTGTTATTCTGTGCTGAACAGGTTGGAACGGGTATTTTTTCCTCCTTTTTTCCCTGTTGGATTTTTTTTTTTTAGTTTCTCTATGACTGTGGTGGCGAACCTATGGCACACATGCCACAGGTGGCACGCAGAGCTCTCTCTGTGGGCACGCACACTGTCGCCCCAGTCCTAGGCCTTCAGCTGAGTTTTATAAAACCTTTTCGCTTTAGGCCTCTGTGCCATGTGCTTCTGGAGGCAGGTTGTTCCACTGGTTAATTGTTCTAACTGTCAGGAAATTTCTCCTTAGTTCTAGGTTGCTTCTCTCTTTGGTTAGTTTCCATCCATTACTTCTTGTCTTGCCTTCAGGTGCTCTGGAGAATAGCTTGACTCCCTCTTACTTGTGGCAATCCCTGAGATATTGGAACACTGCTGTCATGTCCCCCCTTGTTCTTCTCTTCATTAAACTAGACATACCCAATTCCAGCAATTGTTCCTTATATGTTTTAGCCTCCAGTCCCTGAATCATCTTTGTTCCTCTTCTCTGTACTCTTTCTAGAGTCTCAACATCTTTTTTACATTGTGGTGACCAAAACTGGATGCAGTATTCCAAGTGTGGCATTACCAAGGCATTGTAAAGTGGTATTAACACTTCACATGAACTTGATTCTATCCTTCTGTTAATGCAGCCTAGCACTGTGTTGGCTTTTTTGGCAGCTGCAGCACACTGCTGGCTCATATGTAAGTGATTGTCCACTAGGACTCTGAGATCCCTTTCACAGTTACTATTATTGAGCAAGATATCACCTATCCTATACCTGTGCATGTGGTTTTTCTTGCCTAAATGTAGAACCTTACTTTTTTCACTATTGAATTTCATTTTGTTAGATAGCGCCCAATGTCCAAATCTGTCAAGATCCTTCTATATCTTAAGCCTATCTTCTGGAGTGTTGGCTATTCCTGCCAGCTTGGTGTCATCTGCAAATTTGATGAGTTCCCCATATATCCCCTCATCCAAATCATTGATGAAGATGTTGAAGAGCACTGGGCATCCCACTACACACTTCCCTCCATGTAGATGCAATTCCATTGAGGATCACATGCTGAGTACAGCCGGTCAGCCAACTACGAATCCATCTGGTGGTGATGCTGTCTAACCCATATTTGTCTATCTTATCAAGTAGTAAGTTGTGGTCTACTTTATCAAATTCCTACTGCAGTCCAAGTAAATTATATCCACAGCATTCCTCTGGTCCACTAATTTTGTCACCTGGTCAAAGAATGCAATAAGATTTGTCTGGCATGATCTATTTTGACAAACCCATGTTGGCTTTTGGTAATGACTTTGTTTGTCTTTAGGTGTTCGCTTATTTGTTACTTGATTATCTTTTCCAGAATCTGCCGAAGTATTGAGGTCAGACTGATAGGTCTGTAGTTTCCTGGATCCATTTTTTCCCCTTTTTTGAAGATGGGAACTACATCAGCTCTTTTCCAGTTCTCTGGTAGTTCCCCAGTGCTCCAGGATCTTTGAAAAATATAGTTCAGTGGTTCTGAGATCACATCTGCCAGTTCCTTCAGAACTTTGGGGTGTAATCAAACTTTAGGGTGTAATCAAATATGATTTGATTAACTTGTTTAGTGGAACATGCTCATATATCTCAACTTCTTTGCATAGGTAGTGACCAACACATGGGCCTTAGAAGCTTTTGGAAGAACTACAGAGTTTTCATTGTTTCGGGAATTGGCATGGCGCTGATACACTGGGGATGGTATAAAATCAAGTCCAACCCCCTTTTTCAACCGCCAAAAGAGGACTATTATCAAGAATCTGACATTGTGAGATATGTCCTGCAGCAGGAGAAAGAAAATGAACAGAAATAATTATAAACTGCTACAGAACGATTAAAAGGTAAGTATAAAATGATTAAAAGGCAACAAAAATACAGGTAGTCTTCGACTTATGATCACAATTGAGCCCAACATTTCTGTTGCTAAGTGAGGCATTTGTTAAGGGAGTTTTGCTCCACATTGCAACCTTTCTTGTCACAGTGGTTAAGTGAATCACTGCAGTTGTTAAGTTAGTGACGCAGTTGTTAGGTGAATCTGGCTTCCCCATTGACTTTGCGTGTCAGAAGGTCACACAAGGTGATCACATGATCCCAGGATACAGCAACCATCATAAATATGAGTCATATGCCAAATGTCTGAATTTTGATCACATTATCGTGAGGATGCTGCAACGGTTATAAGTGTGAAAAAAGGTCACAAGTCAATTTTTTCAGCCCCATAATAACTTTGAATGGACAGTAAACAAACTGTTATATGTCGAGGATACTGTTGTGGAATTTATGCCTCTTCTTGCAGAACTGTGCTCTGGAGACTCCCTGTAGGTGGCATAGTAATGGTCCATAACAGATAGCCTTTAGTGTCAAACCATAAGCTATCCTTCCCAACATAGGAATAAATGTCAACATTGCATTTTCTGTGAGTAAATCCTAAGACCAGGAAATGAACCAACAAACAGACAGCTAAGGATCTGCTTTGCTGGCATGGCCTAGCATTTTCTCTTGGAAAATGAGGATTAGTAAAACTTAGGAGAACCGGGCACTTTCTGCTCTGCAGATGTTGCTTCTACCAACAACTCCTTAACTGGCCTCAAGCTATTCATTTTCTCTGCATTTCATCCTGTTCTGGGAACAAAACCACAATGCAATATAGAATTTTGGGAAGGAGCTTTAAAGCGTAGGATTTTAAATACTCAAAATGGGCAAATATGTAAGATAATATATTATAATTTGGTGCTCAGGCCAGGGTCTGTTATAGGATTAGGCAAGAATCCTATAGGAACAAATAACCCCAATATTAATTGTCACTCTTTTTCTCTGTGAAAATTGCATAGTTTGATATTCCATGGCAATGCTTTAGCCTCATTAAAGCAGAGATGGGAAACTGGATTCCTTAAAAATCTGGCTGCATTTTCTTTTCCATGATTTCTTTACAATACTTACAACCATAAACTGGATTTGATAGACTATTCTGCCACCTTCGCCCCTTCTCTTTCTCTCTTTCTTTCTCTTACACACACATACACGCATAAATATATATGTACTAATTGTGCATATTTGGTATACTCTCCTGGTTAAATTCATCAACCGTATCATTTTTCATCAGTTTACAATTTTTGTACATGGAGCAGAACAAAAATATTAGGTAATATTCATGTGATGCAGAACAGCTGCAGTTCATCTGCTACCTTGGCAGAGCTATTATGAATGCAGCTTTTAAGCATAATTAATAACAGCACACACTCCCAACTCATTAAAGCAAAATTTGTATCTATGCCCTCGTTCAAAATCATGTATTTTCTTCACCTGCCTATGTCTGTGAGCTTTTTTAAAGCTTTTATCTTTTAAGATAAAAGACTAATACAAATTAAGAGACATATAAAAAGGAAAGGAAAGGAGAAGTGCATAGGGAAAAGAAAAAATAAGGAAAAGGGTGTATAAAAAGTGACTCCCTTTTAAAAAGTATATACAATTTTGTTAGCACCTTTGGTAACATTTTAATAAAACAAAGATCACTTCTTTCCATACTCAGCCCTTATCTATAATCAAATTATAAAAACTCATCATTCAGTCCTAATCAGCAAAAGTCTACCAAAAGTAATAACATATTATATTTTAACTTAATGAATCCATTTTGTATTATAACTTAACACTTTTTCTAAGAAATATTGTAAAACAAAAGAAATATCTCATTTATAAATTGATAAAGCCTAGTTGTTCAATCCTCGTCAAAAAGAAATTCCATTAATAACTATCAGAAACTACAACATATATTGACTCTGATCAAATAAATCCACTTTGAATTCCTTATGTGTTCTTGATTTTTAATTCTGTCAAATATTGTCCCACCAGCTAATTCCTTGTCATTTTCTCTTTCTTTCCTCTCAGGAACAGTTGCATTAGTTTAACACAGTGGTTCTCAACCTTTCTAATGCCGCGACCCCATAATACAGTTCCCCATGTTGTGGGGACCCCCAACCACTTATACATCACCGGGTGCCAGGGGCATGGCCAAAGAAAAGGGGGAAAAAATGGCGGACAGCCTTGTTTGGCGACCCCCGTGAAATGGTCGTTCGACCCCAAATAGGGTCCCAACCCACAGGTTGAGAACCACTGGTTTAACACACCCCTTTTATAAATCCAAGAGAAGATGACTTTCTAAGCCACTCTTCTGATTTATTATTTGTATCTCCACTTTAATTATTAAGATATCAGCTGGTTTAATTTGTAAATTCATTGTGGTATCTTTTTCCATATTCTGGCATTTTAAATTCATTTTCAGATCCACAGCATCTTTTTCCATATCACTTTTGTAATCTGGTGTTTTTTAAAAATACTAATCTGTATTCAAATCAGCCTTAACCTGTTTTATTTAATTAAAATCTGTTCTTCTATATCGACTGTTACAATATCAAACAATCTTGTAAGTAATTGTTAAGTACAGTGCTCCCAAACAGACTTATTTTTTTATAGCAAAATGTTGGTCCATTGTATTAATGGGTCTCTTTCTCCTTTAGTTGTAATCCTTAGTTCTCTCTGATTCCCTCTAGTCAACCTTCAAAGTCCCTTCTTAACATCTGTTTCTTTCCCAATCAGTAAAACATTCCCATAGGAGAGTTTCTTACAGATAATTTCAAAATCTTCATGTGTTCTTTTATAAAATTTTAAGCACCCCATAGGAAATATTATTTCAGGTCCATCTATTCCATTAACTTTCCAAACTCAATATTCTAGTCCCCCTTTTGCTGTATTCCAAAAATTAAAATTCAGTTCCAAATTAGAATGGCACGTTGGCGTTCTGGCACTACGTGGATGCCCCAGTTTGTTTAGGATGTCCTTTAATTGCCTATGTTTGAATGACTTCCAGATATAAATCAGTGCTCAAGCTTTATGCTGTAACATAGGGGTCTGCAACCTGGCAACTTTAAGACTTGTGGACTTCAACTCCCAGAATTGGGAGATAGATAATTGCTCTAGGAAGTTCTAGGACAACTTGTTGCAGCCATCTCGCCACGGCCAAGTCGTCATGAGACAACTCACTACGGCCAAATTACCATGGGACAATCCATGCAGGGTAACACAACCCAGTAAATCTTATCTGCCACTGTTTCTTCTAGATTATTACCATTTTTGTTGATGGAAATAATGTAAAAAAAAAAAAACCAGGCAGATGACATCACTTTGAGTTATCTTGCACGGAATTGTCCCTCCATGAGTTGTCTTGCTGCAAGTTGGTTATGGTGAGTTGTCCTGCAGCAAGATGGCTGCGTCAAGTTGGCCCATTCCGGTTGCACTGTTTATTTCATTCTGATTGCAAAAGGTAAAGGCCTTCTTTCGAAACCACCAAAATTTAGACTCTCTTGCCAAGGATTCCTGGGGCAGTTATTAGAAAACAGTGTATGAAAGATCTAGCACAAAAATTGGTCAACACCCCCACCCCCAAACATTCACAGTAAAAATCTTGCTTTTCGTAGTTTCTCTTCAGCTCGTCAAGCCTATTGTTTTCCCTCAAAAAGGACATTTCATGTTCCTGGAAATTATATCATTCAGTTGGATACCCAAGATCATGCATCTAGGACAGGGGTAGGCAACCTTGGCTCTTTTATGACTCGTGGACTTCAACTCCCAGAATTCCTGAGCTAGCATGGCTGGCTCAGGAATTCTGGGAGTTGAAGTCCACGAGTCATAAAAGAGCCAAGGTTGCCTACCCCTGATTTAGGATATGGCTATGACCTTTTTATTATGTATATACACTACGTATACATACTGTTCTTTAATACAATTAAATCCTGGACTTGCTTGCAATTGACACAAAAGTTTTTCCAATAATGTTTATATTAATCAATGTCATATATATGAAAATATTGTAAGTATCACTAAGCAGCAAAGGATTGCTAAGATATGAGCTGAGAAAATGTGTAAAAATATCACTTTCATCTGTATACCTCTAAACAGAGAAGAAATAAATCTCTGTAAATCAAAGATTGAGTGCTTTATTGGCAAAAATCCATAACTGCCCACTGTTAATGCTATTTTTTCTGCATTATGCTTATATAAAAGATGATGGTGAGTAATCTCAGCGGGCAAATTATCAGAACGTTTTCTACCATGCAAAATATTCACTATGATTATACCTCATTTTCAGAGAGGGCTTATTATTTGCCAAGCGTTTGCACTGAAATAAGTGGTCTTAATAAATGTACACTGTGATTATAGTATTTCTTTCCCTCCTTCTCATAGGTATATCTCCCTTATTTATTATAGGTCTCCATCAACAAAAGATATAAGGTGGAATAGTAGGGATTGGCTGCCCATGCCTGGATTTTTATTCATTGGTGCCCATGTTGGTATTTACTGTACCGTCTACCAAAAATAGCAAAGCTTTCTTCAAAAACAGGGCATGGAAATGAACTGAAAAGGTCTCGTTGAATGAAGGAGCTTCGGCAATCATCACATTGATCGCATTGTCTAACATCAAATAAGTGCTGTTAAATCCCTTTGTTGTGTCGTTGCCTGCAAAGAAAACCCAAGGTCTTGCATGCCTGTGTATAATGATGATTAAAAACTGTTTTGTAGAAATGGAAGGCTTCTAAAACTTGACTGGAATTTTTGTCAGGAAAGATGTCTCGAATTGACATTAAAAAACCTTCCCTCTGCACCACTGGTCCTTTAACTAAGGAGGTGGTCAGCCAGGCTGTCTCCACATTTGGTAAGATAATGAGGTCCTGCTATGGCCCCACAGGTAGGCTTAAACAATTTCACAATGGCATGGGAGGATACGTTCGTATTTCATCACAATCTTCGGTTTTGTTCAGTAGCCTTTGTGTCACTCTTCCCGTCTTAAAGCTTCTGGTAGCCTCTGTGCAGAACCACCTTGCGCTCTTTGGGGATAGCGGCTTATTTACGGCAATTTTTTGCTGCAGCTTGCTTGAAAAATACCAAAGCCTGAATATTGCTGCGTATACTTTCATTAAAATTAGCAAACATATTTTGAGCCTGTGCGTTGACTACCTTTCATCTGAAGCCTGTGGTTGCCGGATACCAGTGGATTTCAGCAGTTCTAAGCTTCTCCTTAGCCTGGTGCACAGTATCATATTGAGCAAACGGGCCTGCATGCTTAGCAGGAAGGAAGCCGATCATATCAGTATTTTGGTGTTGAAGGCCTTTCTGTTTACAATCCCCCAAAATGTGGATTCTACTGCTGTGTTAGGAAAATGCCATTACATATCTATAAAAAATAAGAGAGTTATGGATTCTACTGTCTATCCTGGACTTTTAATTGAAATGCCAGAAATGCATCTGACCCCGCCTTTCAAAAGAACTGCTTCAGGCCAGATCAGAGTGGCTCTGTTTGGCATGTCTATGTCAGGAGATTTGTCTCATGCAGGAGAAGGAGCCATAGCTATCCACCACGGAGTTTCTCTAGAAGCCGAAGTGTTGGATCAATTACTTGGTGTAGGCAGGAAAGTAATGATGGATGGTGTTGGTCTTGTGATATGCCAGAAGGTCATCCACCCAACCTTGAAACAGTATTTAAAGGAGAACGATATTGTTGCTGTCGAGAGAGTTGGAATACAAATGATGGAGCCCTTGCAGAAAATGACAGGTAATGAAAAAACTCTCAGACAGGATCACTTCATGATAACGATTCACAAGAAAAGGGAATGTGGCAAGCCATTAGCAGAAATCTCTTCTTTGTCAATTCTCTAGCTGTTCCAAATTGCAAATGCTAGACTGTTAATTGAGCAATAGTTCAGATGTTTGATCCATCTCTAAATCTCATCCCATATATTTATTTGCTTATATAATGTATTTGGTACCCCATCTCGTGCATAAGTCTGGGAGGCTGACAATTAAAAACAATAAAGAACAGCCAACTTTAAAACAACAGTTAACATAAAGTAACTTAGCTATTAAGAACACTGAGTGAACACAAGATCAAGAAACGAGCTCTCAGGGTCCTAGACTCAATGGCAAAAGCCAGGTTTTCAAGGGCAGGTCTAATCAGGGGAGATGAGGTTCCAGAAGGCAAGTCCCATGGCAGAAAAGGCTTTGTTCCTGGACCCCACCAGATAGTCCACTCTTTTGGAAAGGACCAGGAACATGCTTTTCCCACCACAACCCACAGAATGGGTAGATACCAAATATTTCAACAACTGTTGCACACCTCGGCTTTCTTAATTAGAGCTCCTGTGAACAACTGCTTGAAAATGAGTAGGACCTACCCTCCCGCATTGATAAATCCTATTAAAGCAAGATATCTTATCACTCAGTCTTCTATTTACACTAATCCATTTGAAGCTTCCTAGAAAGTGTCACACCTCACATGTTGAGAGGAACAGATCATGGACTACATTTCACAAATCCACGGTAGTTGGGTTCACACAGCGCACCGAGCTAAAATCAGTTTTGTTTCCTTATCATAGGCAATACTATTGAAACATTCCTGACTTATGTTATTTGTATTAAAATAGCTGATATACAGCTTCGTTGAATAATTCAATTGAAACATCTCTGCGAAAAAAAATCCAGGATTTAATGGACATTCATTGTTGTTGCTTTTTAATATAAGCAGCATCAAAGTCAACCTAATTAGAATTTGAATCACAATGTAATTGCTTTCAGCAGCATTTAGGAATATGTGATTTGAAGCACTATCTAGTTACTATGCTCTACTGCAACTCAGATGGGGCCTTTTTGACATACTTTAAGCACGACATTGCATGCAGCTAAGGCAGAATCAAAATTGGCTCCATGTAAGGTACAATGAAATGTTACCGAAAATTACTTGTGTTTCGGCTTTTTTGATAATTTAACTCTCACAGTCACATTTACATCTTGTCTTGACAACGTATCTTTATTGCCAATATGATATCAACACATTCAATTTTTGTTTGGACTGATCATAGTTTTCTTAAGTAAGAAATGCCACTTTTTCATTACTGTATTCACCATTTTGTATCTAGAAAGATAGGCTTCTTTGAACCTTTGTACCTATTTGTATGGGGTTGGCATTGCCTCTTGACTTAATTTTCCTTCCTTTGATTTTGATAATCAGGAGCAAAAGGTTTTTTGCACTTTAGTTTTCACTTACAAAAAGTTCCTTAAATAATGAGAATTGCATCATCAACATATCAAAGGTTGTTAATGTTTCTCCCAGGAACTTTAATTCCTATTTTTTTTCTAGTTCAGTGTTTCTCATGATATATTCTTCACGTAAATTAAATAAAAGGTGACAATCTATAACCCTGGGTTACTTCTTACCCAGTTTGGACCATTTAATTGCTCCATATTCCATTGTAATGGTTGCTTCCAGAATTTCTTCAGTACAAAGATACGATAACCCAGCCTAGGTTTTTTTTTAAGGGCTTTTACAAGTAAAAAGTCAATAAAGAAAAACAGGATGTCTGTTTGAAATTCTCTTTTGCCTTTTCCATTAGTCATCAGATGTTGGCAGTGAATCCAGCTAGTAGACCCAGAAATTCTCATGTATTATTAAAGAGTGTATTGCAAAATCTTAAAATCTTAATCTCACTATAGCATGTTACAGAAATACAATTGTTTCAGAGTTTGAGCATTCTTTAATATTGCTCCATTTTTTTTATATTGGATCATAAATCTGTCTTTTCCATTCCTTAAGCCAGGGGTCTCCAACCTTGTCAACTTTAAGACTTGTGGACTTCAATTCCCAGAATTCCTCAGCTTTGCTGGCTGAGGAATTCTGGGAGTTGAAGTCCACAAGTCTTAAAGTTGACAAGGTTGACGACCCCTGCCTTAAGCAACAGGACCTAAGATTGTTGGGGGCAATATGCAGATAATGCTTCTACATTGCAAACTGTCCAGAGAGTGCTGTAAAGCCCCATGGGGCATTATATAAGCCTAAATACAATTGCTATTTGTAAGATTTTAAACAGTTCTGATGGTATTTCATCAACTCCTGTGCCTTTGCTACTGGAAGTATTTTTACTAGGTAGATTTGCTGAGGAGTATTTAATTTCACTATTCAAAATGTCCAACTAACATAATGAACAAATGTGTGTGTTTCATCAATTTCGACAACTATTTGTCAGTTCCTCTTTATGTTGATATCATCTCTTCTTGCTTTCTTTTTTTCTCCCGTAGAACTTTTTTTTTCATCTTTTAGGCCCACCTTTTCATATATTTAATGTTCTTGTATAACTCTGAATGCATCAGTAGCTGCAATTTGTCTTCTTTTGCTGGCATTTCCGAATGTTTTCGTTTGTTTCATCTTCAATTTACAGAGTTCTTCAGGCATTCTATGTATCTAGTCCAGGGGTAGGCAACCTTGGCTCTTTTATGACTCGTGGACTTCAACTCCCAGAATTCCTGAGCCAGCTCTATCTAGTCCATTAAATCTACAGAATATAGCTGAAGTCATATCTCGGAGTTTTGATTATTTAATTTGTCTTCTGTAGTTTTAGCTGTAATAAAGCTTTTCCACTTGTCTTGCGGAATATATAGTCAACATGATTTCACTGTGACCCAACCATTGATGTCCATGTGTGTAATTTTCTTTAAAATGGTTGGAAGAAGGTTTTTGCTACACTGAATGTTACTGGCAGCATTCTCTTTCCTGCTTCACTGTGTATAGTGAGACCAATTTTTTTCTGTTATTTCAGTTTTTTTTAGCCTTTCAGTTTTAGTATGGTATGATAAATTTAAGGTTAACGTAGGTCTTAAAAATCATTATGAGAATATGGAACTGATATAAACCCAACTGTACCCAAAAATACCTTTATGGGTCTCAGCGCAAGAAACATTTTAAAGGAAGGAAACAGTAGGTAAAGAAAAATAATTAACTTATCAAGAGTTATTAGAACAGGAACATGGAGAACATAAGATGACATCAAGAGAACAATTGATGCAAAGGGATTTAATTTTCAATGGTCTCCAGATACACAGTTAAGAGAAAGTTTTAAGGTAGGTAAGTATTTAGAATTGAGCCGCAGAAAACAATTTGAAGTTGAACTATGTACAAATAATTAACATGTAATTGCTAAAATGTACACATTTTTCTAGAAATTTGAAACAGGTAAGAATGTGATAAAGTAGACAAAGAACTTTGGATTACAATATGCAGTGGGAAAATATGTCGTTAAAATGGTTGAAGTTTAAATCGGCAGCTAAAAGATTTTTTATAGAATGATGTACCATTAGTATATGGCTCCAGAAAAAAATTGTCTAGAACGGTATAAACTAAGGTACTTCAGATTTATGTTGGAAATGTGATCAACATGAAGAGTCGTTTTCTCACGCTTGGTGGCCTTGGTAGACATGTCTGGGTTCAAATACATGTGATGATTCAAAAAATGTTAAAGACCAACATTCAGCTGAAACCAGAACTCGTCTTAAGCAGCAGCAGCCAGTTTCCAGGGCCATCTTGGGGCTGAGCATAGGAGGCTAGAACACAACATTAATAGTAAGGTTGCCTTCCACAATACTGAATAATGTATGTCCAATTATCTATCATATTTATCTGAAAGGAAGATGACCTGTTAATATGATTTCCACTCCATCCTTTTCAAAGAAAGATTAGAAATCAGATTAGAAAAACTGATGGGCCTATATGACTCTCCCACCAATTAACTAAAAAAAATGATTGATTAACAGTATTTATGATGGATAATGTGGACAATTCATTTCAATTGATCGGATCTTTTTATTAGAATATTTAAGTCCTTGACTATCACCGAGATATCTTAGGGCAATAAATCTCACAAATTACATGCTTCTTTTCTGAAATTATACTTTCATAATATAAACTTTTTTTGTTTAATTTTTGCAGCCCTATTAATTGTAAGGTTTGTCCAAATTAAACTGCCTCTATTTTAAAACATATAAGCCTTAGAAAACATTTGTTTTTATCCCAAATAACTTTTCCATTCCCAGCAGTCATTTAAAACAGGTTTCTTTGTTTATGGGATAATACATCTTTATTTTCCTTAATTGATTAGGTTCTCAGCCAATACCTTCTTTACATTTCCTGTCTCCTGCATGTTACGGCCATCTAAAGGACTTACAGATTCAATGTTTTGATTCAAAACGGTTCTTGCATCTAATTCCTGATCAGCCAGTTGTCTGCAGCTTGCTACTCTGTAATAGGAATGAAACAGCATGGGATGAACTAAAGGTATTCAATCTCTTTATATATCTTGTAGCAAGCAGTAGATGAAGGAGCATATTGTTAGAAGGTTAGTCTCTTGGTTAATGATTAATGTCTCTACACATGAAACCAATAATGACCTTAGACCATCAAACGTTTGTGGAAATCAGCATTGTACTACAAATAAAATGCTTATGGCAGTCTTTCACAAATAACCAAAGTGGACCAAGTCTGGAGAGTTTGTTAATGAGAGGCAAGATGATTTAGGGAAGGGATGCCAGGTAGACAAATACAATCTATAGGCAAGAATATAATTGGCATAAAGTTTGAAGAAAAATATAATTGTCATGAGCCTCCTCTCTTTCTTGTCAAATGAAGTGAAGCTGCAGGTATAAGTGTAGGCCTCTTTCAGCCTCTCTATATATAGGTAGTCTTTGATTTACAACAGTTCATTTACTAACCGGTCAAAGTTACCACGGCATGGAAAAAAGTGACTTATGACTGTTTTTCAGTTACGACCTTTGCAGCTTCCCCATGATCATGTGATCAAAATTCAAAATGTTTAGCAATTGATTCATATTTATGACTATTGCTTTGTCCCAAGGTCATGTGATCCCCTTTTGCGACCTTCTGATGAGCAAAGTCAATGGGGAAGCCAAATTCACTTAATAACTGAGGCAAGAAAGGTCGTAAAATGGGGCAAAACTCACTTAAGAAATGTCTTACTTAACAACATAAATTGTGGGCTCAATGGTGGCCATAGTCAAGGACTATCTGTATTGTAAAAATATAAATAGAGAGGATCATGAATGTGACTTTAGGGGTTTCTTTAGGAAAAAAGGTAGAATAAAACTATAATAACGAAATATTTGGACAACATGGAACAAGTGGATATTTGACAGTGTTTTGGACAGTGAGTATAAGTGTTGTTATGGGGCAAATATTCTAATAGTCTGTCAGGAGTTAATGAAATCAGACTGAGAGGCATTAAATTGGGTTTCTTGATTTAAATCTGCTGCTTTTAATGACTATTTTAAGGAAATTAGCATGATAAGTACCGTATTTTTCTGGCGAATAAGGCGACCCGGCGTATAAGACGACCCCCAACTTCGGCGCCGATTTCAACGCTTTCGAAAGTCGTCTTATACGCCAGAAAGTACGGTATATTGGCACAGAAATCTCACCTTTTTTATCAAAGATAAGGTGATAAAAGAAAAATGAGAAATGATTAGATAAATGGGGCTTTGCAAAGTGTCTGCAAATAAGCTAAATTCCATTGAGATTAACTCTGGGTTTGTTTAAATCAAGAGATTATTGGTTTAATTCCTGGAAGTTAATGGGGTTTCCATATCACATGCTGAGTGCAATTGTCTGAACAGAATAATGACAGAAGATATTGTAGAATTCTGCTGAGAAGAAGAGTGGTGTAATTCTTAAGGTCAAGAAAATCTCTCCCATGCTTGAAAAATAGATAATTGCCAAAAGGAAGGGAAAAGAAAAAACCTTTTGCAAGCTTAATCAAAAGTAAACATTTTTAATCACAAAGGGACATATTTCTTACTAGGCACAGCTTTATCTGACTAATTATTTGGCTGCAGGCTATTGAATCACAATTTATACCATGGCAGTGTTTGCAGTGTTCCTGATCATCACACCTACTAAGCATGGATGGAACATAATTTGGGGTCTGTTCCAGTCTAGTTTTGCTTCTGGGAAATGGATGGGAGAAGGAGGATAAAAAGCTTAGGAAATCTATCCTTGGTTACATACTGCTACAGGTCAGCCATCAGTCAGTTACCAAGATTATATTTTAGTAGCTTCAAAATAAAATAATCTATTGTGAGGTTTTTTAAAAAAAAAATGAGAAAAAGATGGCAAATTATTTCTTTGGCTATTTAAATTGTTTGGAAGGGAAAATAAAAAAAAGATCTAAAGTTTTGAAATGAATTTGCTCAAAGGAACTGGAGTTGCATAATCCATAATAATAATAATTCAACGGATTCAATCCGTAGTTCGGTTCTCAGCTGCACAGGCCTTCCAGAAAGGCCTCTGACGGCAAAATGCAGGCCAGAGCGCCATTCTCAGCTGCAGAATGAAGCTGCTCCTTCAGCCGCAGTAGAAGTGGGCCGGTTGGGCGGGGCTGTCGGTGCCATCATCTTGAGGTGAATGGAAAAGACCCAGCCACCCACCCCAAAAATAAGACCTGGTGCCTCTTTTGGAGCAAAAAAAATAAGACTGGGTTCTTATTTTGGGGAAAACACGGTACTTACATGGTTTGCTAAGTATTTAAATGTTACATTAGTTGACTTTCAAGCTGTATAAAAGCAGATTGAAATATCTGGAACAATCTATGTCAATCTGTAGTGTTACTGAGCCAATAAAATGGGATTAGTAGTATACCTCCTAAACCAGAATTCCTTTGCAGAAAGGCAGGATAAATTAATTGGAGAAATTTTTTTCTGTTCTGTTTGGAGGAGAAAATACCAGCTTCTATAATACAAGTATTTGACTTTTTTCTCCCCCTCTGCAGCTTGCTTGTCAAACTGCAGAACATGCCTTGCAGTTAACAGTCAAAGATCCATGGATTTTGCTGGGCGGAGGCTGTACCGAAACTCATGTGTCCTCCTACATAAAGCACAAGGTTTGAGAGTTTTGGGGGGGATATTTAAATTGTTTAAGGCTCCTCAATGACATGCTTATGAGTACAGATGAAACAGCTTACTGAGACCACATGCTGTCTATTATATAACATTTAATACATGTATGTCTCTCTATATTTGTGTATTACAAAATCAATATTAAGGCTATGGATAAAGCAATTACAAGTGACTTCGTGTTCATGTACTTTTCTGAGTAATAATGCAGAATGATTTGTCATTGCCTTTTCCTGGCTTTTAATTTGTTTGGGTTTTGTTGTTGTTGTTGCTGTTGTTGTTCCCAGTTTAGCTTGACTTTAGCTTGGGATCTCCTGGTGATCTCCCATCCGTATTAACCAAATCAGGTCCTGTTTATATTGTTTTTTTCTGGATCAGCCAATTCTGGCTAGGTATTGCATTTGCAGGAAAAGTATGCAAAGGCCCTGTGTTAGAAAATAAATGCCAACCAGTTATGTTCTTTGACAATGCATTTGAAGGACACACAATTATTTCCCACAATAATGTTACATTGAGACAGAATAGAAAACATTATATAGGCACATTTGTTTTTTTAGGACTGTAATAGGATCTCAATTATCTTTTCATTTTCAGGCAATGAACCTTACTCATACAAGAGGACTTACAAGTAGTCCTTGACTTATGATTGGTCACTTAATGACCGTATGAAGATACAACAGATCTTCCTATGTCCTACCTTTGAGGTTCCAGTGGTTGCTTCCCTCCCTTGGTCACTTCACTTTGCAGCTGGCCCACATTTATGTCCATTTCTAAATCCCATGGTCATGTTTTTGATGCTTTTGCTAAAAATCAGCATTTACTTCTGCTTTTCAGCAAAACAGGCCCCTAGCGAACCATTGGTTTACTTAATAATCACTGCAAAAAAGGTCGTAAAATTGGGTTGGTCACATGGGTGACTCACTTTACAGCCTCCATGACTTACAACCGTGAGGGGCTGGTTCCATTACAATCATAAGTCGAGGACTACCATCATGGTATTTGACACTTACCTGGGAGTTTAACTCATAAAGCACAATGGGTCTCCTTCCAGATAACCTTAAATTGAGCTATAAAACCTAGTAGGTCAAAGAATAACAACAACTTTCATTTCCTCCCTCTCTGTTCTAGAGTTGTAGTGTATCAGAAGGCACCTTGGAAGATCTAGGCTGTTCTTCAGAGGAATTCCACTTAGTAACTGATTGTTTTTGCCACTCGCTGGAGTCTATTGCTCGCTCTCTGGAGCATGACAGTGGTGATGTTCTCATTGATACCCATTGGGGTCATTCGTGGTCTATTCCACCTAACATTCCTAGCAACTCTGAATGGTCAGATTTTGTTCAAAAGTGTGGGTGTGGCCTTTGCAACAAACAGGAAGGCCTCAACTGGAAGATGTTAAACTGTCGTTCTGTTTCTTTCCTTCCCAAAAACTGTGTGAATGAGTTCTCTCTCACCTCTGCTGATCAGCTTGTCCTGGATTGTTTTGCCGCAAAACGGAACGGTTTACAAGTTGCAGTTGAGACAGCTCATCTCATTTTAGATATATCACATATAATTGAAGATTGTAATTAGTTTCATGTGCATGTTCAGCAAGTGTGATGTATTTGTGCTGGCATTTCTAGGCCTCTTTCCAACCACATCCAGAAAAAAGTGTAACAAACATTGGAATTCTCAAGGTCATGTTTGGTATTACCCAACAATCTGTTACTGGATGGAAAAAGCGATTCCTGCTACGTTACTGATCCCAGAGAACCATTTGCATGTATGTAGGTATCCTTAGAGTGCCATAGTTATGGATGAGAAATATTGGTTGCAAAGTTGGCATTTCTGGATGTAATATAGATACTTTGGACTTATTTTTGTTTCTTTGCATGTTTAATATTTTTAAAAAGGCATATGTTACTGACTACGCTTATGCACATGTAACATCTTTTGCTAGGATACATGACCACTCCTTGTCCAGAATATGAAAAGTGAAAGATTGTGACTAAACAAAATTTTAATGTACAGATAATATCACCAGAAATTATTTTAGCCTTTTTAATAAATGTTGTTATTGATGTTAAGCTCACCATGGAAAACATTGTATATTGTTATGTGTATACTAGGTTAATTATTTAAAGACTGAAGTGCAACATAACTAGATTCTAAATAATCTATTTTTCAAAACACACAACAGTCCAAACAGTAAAAGTAAAGTCCAAATTAAGAATATTTCATTCTTAACTTAAGAATTGTTTAATTTAAACTGGTTTAGTTGTAATAGATTGTGATAGATTCAAAATAGTTTTCAAGAGTATGTACAAAAAATACTTTTTTTTTCAAGCATCAGCTAAATTAGATATATTACACTGAGAAAAGTGTTTCTCATTTCTTTCCTGTTACCTTTATTGATTTCATTGCAGAGATGTTAATATAGGAAATAGATTATTTTGTTATCTAATTTTACCTTCCAAAAAAACAGAAACAGATGGGAAATATGAGATTCTTTCCTGTTGGCTTTTTTGAGTTAGCTGTTTTAGATTCTAAAAGTTTAATTCCTAAAGAAGTAAACTTGTAAATAATTTTAATGTCCTCCTCTAGTGTGTATCATACCTTAACTGAAACATCAATTCTGTCTGCTTTCCTTCCATTTAACACATCAAAAGTGTTCCATATACAATTGGTAGTAAGAATGAATTGATCCTGCCTACTTAAAATATAGAGCAGTTTTTTTTTTCTGTCTTTGAACTGGGAATATCCTGGGATATGGTTTAAAAAAGTCACAGTTTTGGCTATCACAGTGCAATCAAAGTTCCACCATTTTTTATGTGTGTCACCTAGCATGGCTATCATCTTGAATATTTTTTTCCAAACTCTGCATGAATCTCTGCTTTGTATATGAACAGCCATATTTTTCCTAACACAATGTTTATATAATTTTTTTTAAAATTAGACACACACATGTCATTTTGTTAACTCTCTTCTTCATTATTATTAGCTACAAAATTTGCAGGTGATCTTGAAAAGTGAGCTGTAAATTCTTGCCTATGTCTCTACACCAGGGATAGGCAATCTTGGCTCCTTTATGACTCGTGGACTTCAACTCCCAGAATTCCTGAGCCAGCATAGCTGGCTCAGGAATTCTGGGAGTTGAAGTCCACAAGTCATAAAAGAGCCAAGGTTGCCTACCCCTGCTCTACACTAACTTTTTTTTTTTTTTAGAACTCTGCCTCCTGAATTGTTGAAATCAGAAAATCATTTTTTAAAATCACGAGTGGTCTAATAAAGACATTTACCTGAGATGGAAATTTGATTATGGTTTTCTGTGTTTAATCTGCTATTTTTTTTCATAATCTTTCTAAAAGAAGAACTTTAAAAAAATCATTTTGTTTAAAATCAAAATAAAGAAGTCACTGGTTTTAATATGCCCTCTCTAGAAGGATATATCAGATGTAAATCCGGTTCCACATTCCAAGTGCTTGAAATCTAATCATTGTTGTCATTCCCAAGAACATGTCAGAGGTGTCTCTCCATTGAATGCTTAGCCTCCACATGTCAACCACATCTGTAATCAAAGTACCTTTTGAAACCACATCGAAATCAGGGCAAAACAGGAAATCCTACTTAACATAATCAAATCTTAACCAAGGCTAATGTTATTCTGAATTTGTGCTATCCATTGGGATATAATTTCTGTAGCTGAGTCTTCTCTTAAGGAGGGCTTGTTTATTTCAGTTAAATTCTTGACTTGTTTATTGATGTCTGTATTTGGGGGATACTGTTTGCAAAGCAGTATATCAAAATGTTCTAATAAATATTCACTTGGTTAGTTCAAAAGATGTGCCATGCCATCTGGAAGCAATAAATTCATGCCAAGTGCAATCTTGCTTAATAAAACAAAACCAGCAGTTTCGTATGGAATGTGTTATATCTGGGAGTTGTCTTTATTTTTGAGTTTTGCTATATGTAAGGCACACGCTTGATAAATGCGCATAGTTCTGCTTTGAGCTATTTTGAACACACAAATATGCTAATCCAAAAATGAAATGTAGCTCTAAGCTACATTTGGTTTGCTCATCCAAAATAACACTGAACTGGTTGGGGTTTTACTTTGCACATTCCCATCTCCCCACTGAGGTCAGCCAATTCTTGAGACTCCCATCTTCCATCCAATTGCTTAATTTTCAGCCCACTTGGGAAAAGTTGTTTCCAATCGTTTTCCCCCTCAACAAAGTTTGAATTAGTCATACTGAGCATCTTTTTTTTGTTTCTGGTTTCTTTCCACTTGTAAAAAAACTGCAACTGTAAGATGTCAAACTGAAACATATAATTAAATGGTGATCTTCCTAGCACTTCTGTCTCTCTGGTTCCCTGACCCTACAATTTTTGTGGCAAACAACCAACTTTTTTCTTTTTATTTTCTTTCTCAGGGAATAAATTAAATAAAAATTATAGCTTAAAGTGAATGGTCTGAAAATGTACTATAGAAAAAAAAATCAAACCAGAGCATACCTTTGAAAATAACCCATTTGGGGAAAGGAAGCTTTTAAAAATGCAGAGACAATGGTGGAAGTCAGGTTTTCTCAGACAACTTATTCCCCTACAACCCCAGCTCTGCCATTATAATTTCAGAGTTATCAAGCACATGCAAGCAATAAGATCAGAAATAATAAAGGCAAATGAGATCTACAAAAAAATGCCTGATGCCAAGGGGAGGGGAGTCGTTCCCATCCTAAATTTTAAGTATTCCGGTACATTTTTCTCCTCAAATAATCAGCCAAGAATTCTCGCCCGCCCCCCCCATCACCCACATTTTTTTCTCGCAAAGAATTGTATTTCTTCAAATGTTGGGGTCCTTCCTGTGCCTCAGAGTTGCACTTTTGATTTCGTAACCGATGGCACTTTAGTAGTCAAGAAATGTTCAGTTAAGCAGAATCCTGGACTTTGATCTTGCAAGTTTAATTCCAACATGGTAGTCCACACAACAGTTATTTTAAATATCAGAGAGAGAAGATTAAATCTCCAATCCATTCCCTCCACACATTAGAATTTAAAATGTTCTGCTCTCGTGCAGAAAACTTTTAAATAGATACTGTACTTGACAGTCCAGTCATATACCAGAAAATCCACGCTCAGCAATTGCAATACTTTCTCCTACAACCTTTTAAAGCCATGTGATAGATTTGTCAGAGAATTGATTCTTAGCAGCGTAATGTTGCTGGCCACAGCAAATCCAAAGAGCTCCCCAGCATTAATTTAAATCTCTTTTGTTACCTTTCTAAATTCTTAGTCTTTCAAGGAGCTAGGCTTTGACTTTGGAAGAGGAATGCCTAGATGACAAAACCAAAACAAAAAACTAATTACTGGGCCTCAAACAACATTTCTGGAAGTGCAAGGAATAGGTTTTCTGAAAATGAGCAAAAAAAAAAAAGCAAAGATTCTGAGCCTTGGGCAAAAGGGCTATTTTTGTACAGGGAAAAGAAATGCATTTGGCTTATCATAATCGCATAAGAAGGACTTTTCTGTATCTGTCTAAAAGCATAAGCGGATTTATTTTTAGGGAAGAATCGGTGCTTAAATAGCCAGAATAAAAGAGCTGGGGATGACAGTTTTTGAGTTTACAATTGTTAAAATGCATAAGCGTTTCATATATCCATAAGTATTTGGATTCGTAAAGTGCAAGGAAAAAACTCTGGAGCAGGACATTCACTGAATTATGCAAGGGTTTCTAATCTGTTGGACTAGTGGGACAATAGCTGCAGCAGGCTGGAAGAACTGCTTCATTCATAAAAGTGGGCTTCTGCAAGGGAGAGAAATAACGAAATTTGTATTGTAATGCCACTTTGCAAATGTTGCCTTTTGGGGGGGCATGTGTTGCAATGTCACATGCAGATATCCCTGGGATAGAGCCTGCAGAAGGACATCACGGTGTCTATTTCATCATGGTGATGAATCTTCTAGATTTGATAGATGCCTCTGCAGGGCACATATTCTTTTAGCCCACCTGCAATCCAACCCAAGGGCTGGGCTGTAGCCATCCTCCAGTTTCCAACCTCTTGCAGGCACCGAAGTATTTTTAAAAATAAGGGAGATGTGAAGGGTGGCACCTTCCTTGTATATAGGTTTCTTATTTTTCAAATAAAAAACGTAAAAGAAGAGCCTACTCGGGGTAAAGGAGCCATTCAAAGGATGAGCTGCATAAACCTGAAAGTGGACAGTGGAATAGTGGAGAGTGGGTGGTGATGGTGATGGTGATGGTGGTGAGGAGCCTAGTCAAAGCTCTTTGTTGTTTCTGCATTGAAATCACAACGATCTAGCACCAATTTCCTGGGCTATTTTCTTCTCTCTTACAGACAAGAACAAACAGGATATTTTTAAGAAGGAAATTGCATCTATATATTTTGAGATGAAAGCCCTCAGATCTCCACGGCAACGTATATGCACCAGCAGGGAGAAAGCTGAACATCTTGTTGTACTTGTCATTAAAAAAAAACTATTTGTTTGAACAGGGGGGGAAAGCTATGTGTGGTAAAAAGAGGGAGCTAATGTTCTTGTTTGGTCCAGGATCTTAGAAGATCAGGAGGATGCTGTGTCCGTGCATTGCAGCAATAGGTGGAGATTTCCAGAGACCAGAAACTGTGACTTAAAAGATGAGCTTTACTGGAGTTCAAAAGATTCCTTCAGAAACAAGGCAATTCTCCAAGAGAGGTTGTTTTACCGAGACAATGCCTACTCCCAGCAGTAGCTCCTTGTTCAGGACCAACAGCAGGATCCATCCTCTCCCTCATCTTTCCCTTTTGACCTGTAAACAAATTACAACATTCATGGGGAAACACCTCAGAAACAGAATGCTATGAGAGAAGGCAGGGAGGACAAATCAAGAAAGGAATAATATTCATTAACCACCCACTGGGGGACAACCTGTACAGTAATAAAATGTGCAAAATTCTGGATACTTCTTCTGATAAGTGAAGTAAGACGCCAATGATCTAAGCCTAAGAGATGGTATCTTGGGTCTTTTCTCTTGTGCCCAGTCAAGCTAGGGGAGAGATCAAATTAAGAAAAAGGAAAATGGACAGAAAAGCAAGTTCAGGAAAGCAAAACTAACTAAACTCAGCCGGCGCTAACATTTGTTTCATGATCCTGAGCCAGGACTAACTTTCATACAGCTTCAAGGTTTTTGTCAATTGCCTTAGTATGGAGATCAAAGGAAAGGAGAGTAGCTTAGCGTAGAGCAGTGATGGCGAACCTTTTAGAGACCGAGTGCCCAAACTGCAACCCAAAACCCACTTATGCATCGTTGGGTGCTGGGTGGGCGTGGCCAATTGGGTGAGTGTGGCCCATTGCGTGGGTGTGGCCCATTGCGTGGGCGTGGCTGCGGTGGTAATGGCAGGCTGGGTGGGACTAAAAAGTTCAATCAATCAATTCCAACTTTGCAAGATCTTTTTTTTTTCCCACAAGAAGTTGAAATTGACTGAATCTTTTCTCTTTTTTTTTTGCACATGGCGGCGGAGGCCTAAAGCAAAAAGGTTTTATAAAATCCAGCTGAAGGCCTAGGACTCGGGCAACAGCGCATGTGCCCACAGAGAGGGCTCTGAGTGCCACCTCTGGCACCTGTGCCATAGGTTCGCCACCACTGGCATAGAGCATATTCTGAGGCAGATTGATACACTATTTGGGGAGACAAATTTTTGTTTAGTATTTAGTATTTTTTATAAATAACTCAAGGCAATGAACATTTCCAACATACCTTCCTCCTATTTTCCTGTGAGGTGGATTGGGCTGAGAGAGTGATTGGCCAAAAGTCACCTACCCAGCTTTAATGGCTAAGGCGAGGCTAGAACTGGTGCCTTAACCACTAGACCACTACTACAGTTTTTTCTTTTCCTTCTGGCACCCTGTTTCCTAGATTGACAGACGAGCAATCCAAGGAAAGTATCCCTCCTTTCTTCTGAATTTTTGATTCTGACACTCAGAGATGTTCAATAATTTAACAACAGCCCTTCTTTTTTTTATTATGGGCAGCAAGAATAGCAATTGACCTTAGCATAAATCCAGTAACTTCTATTGCTTTGCTTTTTTCTCCCTTTTTCTGTGTTCTAAGACAAAACAATATAACAGTTTGATTTTTCAGTATGAATCTTTCTTCC